CTGGGGAGGCGCGGCAGGAGTTTGTGGTGATCTTTAGTTCACCAGGGGGCATGCCGAGACTCACCCACGAGGTGTATCTGTGCGTCCAGTTGTATTGCAGGGCGTGCGTGAGAGAGAGGCGAGGTTGAAGGTGGTAGAGCACCCAGGCAAGTAGTGGCCGCACATTTTGAAGCAGCCGGGAAACTGAAACAATGTCAGAGGCATTGACTCTACAAGGGAGATTGCAGAGGTACAGAGGGACTGTTCCTCCTTTTTTTTTTTTTTTTAAATTCATTTAGAGAGAGAGGGGAAGAGGGTAGGGGGTAGGGGGGAGAGAGAGAGAGAGCGCGAGAGAGAAACATTTATTTGTTCCACTTACTTATGCATTCCATTCAGTGGTTGATTGTTGTTTGTGCCCTGACCGTGGTGTATTGGGATGACGCTCTAACCAACCGAGCTACCCGGCCAGGGCCCTGAGGAACTATTAAAGTGCAGATTCATTCAGCTCAGCGGCTGAACTTGAGGGTGAGAGAAGGAACACAGAAGTTAAAGATGTGTGAGGTGTTTAGCTTTTGTGATCAGAGAAAATAATATCAAGGTTCAGAAGACGGGAGATGGAAGGACAGATCAGCTAGTTGGACTTCACAGTGGTGAACGACTCCAGTGGCCTTGCAGGCTGACGGGAAGTTTTTCTCTGATTTTCACATTTGAGGATGAACCCAGTGCAAATGCTTTGGGACGGGGATGTTGAGGAGCCAGCCGGCGTGTTGTCCTCTGATGTGGGCGTTCAGAATGGAGTCCATCAACCTCTTTCCTACGTTATAAAAGGAAGTTAGTGGACAGAGGTTTTTCAGCTTTAGTTGCATATTAGAATCACTTAGGAACTTTTACATTTTATATAAATAGATTCTCTATTTAATTGATCGAGGGACCTAGATCAGAATTTATTTTCTTTAAGCTCCTCAGTGTAACCGGAGTTGAGAATCACTGTGCTGGAATTTGTCAGAGTTTTCTGGGGAAGAATTCCTTAAGGGGTGGATGAAAAAGGGTAAGTGAGAAATGATGAGGGTCCACTTGAAGATACGGATTTGTAGCATCTCTCGTTAAAACACTGTGATCCCCTTTCTTAGCACGAATTTCTCTTTCTCTTTTCCTCATCAGGGAGCCCCTCGAGCAACCAATAGAAGCTGTGCAATTATGTGAACTTCTCAAGTCGACTGTCTTCCTCAAAGTGAAGAAGGACGGTAATCCTTACCTACATACAGTGCAGAGCCTTCTCAGAAGCACAGAATATTTTTATATTTCCTTTATGTGAATTTTTAAGCTGCGAAATGATGGCCTTAATTTCCTTTTTTGACACTGAAAGTTTTGTAAAAGAAATCATATCCATACACTTTGTTGCAAGATATGAATTATTGACACTGAACTCACTGTACTGTTTGGAAAGGGTCCCTCAAATTTTTTGACATTTTTTTGTATGTGTTTTGTTTTTTTTAAGTTCTTATGAGAAGAGAAGGGGAGGGAGGGTCATTAAACCACTGTGTGTTTGGGCATAATTTGAAGATTGCTCCATCTAGATTAGCAATCTGCTCTTGATTAGGGGAGGGAGGGAGGGTTTCTCTTAAAATGCATTAGCTGTGTTTTTTTAAGATAGTGTAACTTGCTTAAATTTCTTATGTGACATTAACAAATAAAAGGCTGTTTTAATATTAATCTACTGTCTTTTTTAACTTGTGCTCAGTGTTTTATGCTTTTTAGCTTATTTCACAATAAGACTTAAATGGGAACATAGGTCGGACAGTGGGAGAAGTCATTGAGGAAGACATTTATTTTTATTTTATTTTATTTTAAATTGATTTAAGAGAGAGGAAGGAAGAGGTAAAGGAAAAAAGATGGAGATTATACTTTTAGAACCTAGTTTTACTGCCTTTTAAAATGGCACAAAGATATTGCTTAAAAGCCACCGTTTAGGGGGTAGGGTATGAGTGATATGAAATACAGGTAGGCGTGTGCTGTGGCGGGGGTACCTTTGTCAGGTATCATGGTAATTGGAGTGTCGTTCGTTACGGGTTTGGGGACATTTTGTCGTGTGATTGCTTTAGCTAAGTGAGTTCATCTTGTTGAATGTGGAATATCTGAACCATACCTAACAGATGATAACATTTCAGGAGCTAAGCCAGAGTCAGTGTTTGCTTTTCTCTTAAAATATTCCTGCGGTAAGCTGCACACAGACTGCCAGCTTTCACTTGAAAATAACTCAGGGTCCCAGAATCACTGTGCTCTGCAGATTGACTGCACCCTCTGGTGCCCTCACAGACTCAGATAAATGCTGGGTTAGAAATTCCATCGGTGAAGCAGATAAAACGATAACTTCTCACACAGATTTATCTTCACAGTGAGAATGGCAACGTGGTGTGGGGCCAGGCTTGCCTGTGAAAAATTTTGCCACAAGATGGGGTTCTTGTCATCAGAATTTGCTCTAGGTACTTGATTGTTGGTAAATTAGGTTTTAGAAAAATTATGACACTTTCATTAGTGAAGAATTAAGAAAAATTGGCAGCTGTGATACCAAAGAGTAGTAAAGACCAGTGAAATTTCGAGTAAAAAATCCAGGACTCTGTTTTGGGCCCTTGGATGTGTGGGCAGTAGATTGTTGAGACGATTCAGATGGACAGATGAGACTAAAAGGACATCTCTGAAAGCGAGCGGCACCGCGGCTCTCCCCACAGAACACTGCGGGTCAGAACGCGCTGCCTGTGTGTGTTACATGTGTCTCCCTGTCAACGGAGTTAAGAGCAAACACAGCATCGCTGGGTTAGTGAGCTATTTTATCACAAGCATGACTCCCCACCCCATTTTTGCGTTTTGTTTCCGATTATTGTTGTTTCACCAGTTTTTACTCAGATTTATTTTTATTCCTCTTTGCTTAGCTCTCGCTTTTCTTCACTAAAAAAAAATAAAATAAAAAAAATTGGATGTTCTTATGTTGTTGACTATTACTTCATCTCCATTCACTGTTCTTCCCTCCGGGATTTCTCTTCAACTGCTATTGAGCCCATCCTCTTTCATATGGTTTAGGTTTCTCTGTGCTGCATTCTCAGTAACTGCCTTGGGTCCTCGCACAGATTCTGTTCTGAGCTCTGTAATCTGTTTGCCTATTGAGTTTCTAATTTCATTGACTATACTTTTCATTTCTGAAGTCTCCTTTGATTCTTTTTCAAAACTTGCCTATTCTTTTTTAAACTTATTTCAAAGAGGAAGGGAGAGGGAGAGAGATAGAGAAACATCAATGATGAGAGAGAATCATTGATCCACTGCCTCCTGCACGCCCCCTACTGGGGATCGAGCCCACAAACCCAGGCATGTGCTAGACCAGAATGGAACCTGGGACCCTTGAGTCTGCAGGCCAACGCTCTATCCGCTGAGCCAAACCAGCTAGGACTCCTGAGTTCTTAAGATGCTAATTTTCCTGTTAGCTGCGTCTACTGACGGCCCCGCCTCCCACGGTGGTTTGCTCCCTGGTGGGGTGTGTAGCCGTGTGACCTCGTCTGCAGAAGGGTTGCTTCTGTGCCCCGGGGTGTGGGTGGGTTTCCAGGCCAGCTCCCCAGTGATGGCAGTGGTTCGGCCTTTCCTGTTGTTTTCTCACCTTGTGATAGTGAAACCCACTGTGACACACTGCCTGGGTGTTCTCTGTTCTTCACAGGGAAGGCCGCGTGCCCCTGCACACCTGGAGGTCTGCCCTGCGGGTGCAGCAGCCCCGCTCTAGGTGGTCTCCTGCGCCCGCACGCAAGGCCACGTTCCTGTCCCTACTCCCAGCCCCTAACGCTTACATTTCAGACTGTGAGTTCAGTTCTTTGTTCCTTTATGGACACGTCTCGTTCTCTTAAGCTGGGCTCTGTATTACAACAGAAATGTACATTTTACCAGGTGAATAGTGGAAGGAGGGAAGGGTTTTCCTTGTCAGTTTAGTCTGTCATCATACATAAATGCATGTGTGTACACATTTATTTGCATATATGGGTATATTTATTTGTAAGAGATGTGATTACCCTAAGTCAGTTCCTCTTGGTTTCTCTGTTACCCACCATCCCTTTCATCATATCTTAAATCTACAAAGGAATTTATTTGAATGCCTCTTCTTTTCCTGGCCAAAATACACCTTAGAAACAAAATAAGAAGTTAAAGAGAATCTTTAAGTATCCAGGCTTCCGGATCGTCGGCTTCTAAACAAAATGCAGATCTTCTCTCTTTGGTCTTATTGCATGAAGCAGTGGCACCTTGGATAAGAATTCTGGGAGGTACCGTCAGAGGAGGATATTAAGGTTCAAACTTGAACCCCTGAAATAAGGTTCTGGTAAATGTGACATCTACTTGGCAAAACCCAGGATTCTGAAATGGGGACTGACTTTTTCTCTCCCCGCCCCCTCCGCCCCCAATAAAACAAAAGAGGCACCAAAGGAGGCAGTATTTCGGATTCTGTGTTTCTGCCATTTGCCTGCCTTACTAAAGGGACATTCGGGGCCAAATTGATGGGAATGAGGAAAAATATTTAGGCAAAACTCACAGATGTCGTATTTCAAGTTGTTGGAGAGGGAGCTGCATATGAACAGTGTTGAGTGGGAAGAATTAATCGGGAACAATTCTGGGAGTGGGTGCTCCTTGGCTGTTTGGAGGGTCAGAGTGAGGGCAGGGAATAACAGGAGATGGACTGGCGCCCGTTTGCCCCGGAGACATGCATCAGGCCCAGTGTGTGAAATCACTCACTTCCTACTCCTACCCCTCCCGTCCCCAATAATGTGTTTTCCCTCACTTTTAACAGCACAGTAAATCCTGTTTTCTGCTGACATTTCTCCAGAGACAAAATGCACCTTTCAATGTAAGGAGACAGCCTGTTCAGGACCTTAATTACTTTATAACAATAAAACATACTCGCCCAGATTTATTACACAAGTGCTTCCTCTGAACGGGAGTCCTCGGTTCCGTGCCAGCCCAGTTTGCCCTCAGAGAAGTGCAGCTCGTGTCCCATTTCGGTGGTTTTCAGACTTCCTTTGGCTGCGTATTACTTCCCAGGGACCCGGTCTGTGGATCGTGAAGATTTATCTGTGTTTGGCATGCCATTTTCTCAGATATTGGTGTTGATTTCTTTGATTTAAAACGGGACAGTCCCGTGTCCTGTGTCTTCAGTTTAGCCACAGGTGCTAACGTGTCCACCGTGCGACCACACCCGAGAAGCCTCACCGTGCTGAGCAGGTCTGACCTCCGGCACGAGCTGGCTTTCTAGCTCAGTGGCCACGAGTGATCTTGTTCATTATCTCGTGTCCCAAACGGTGCGCCCCAGGTCACCTGTTCCCCCTTTTCCTTCTCTTTCTCCCTGCATTCTTTTAAAATATGTTTCTATTGTGCTCGCTTCGGCAGTACATATACTAAAATATGTTTTTATTGATTTTTTATTCATTGACTAGAGGCCTGATGCACGAAATTCAAGAGTAGGCCTTCCTTCCCCTGGCTGCCGGAACCGGACGTCTAGTCTAATTAGCATAAGAGCCCTCAACCCCAGTGTGTGCCCTGACCTAGAATCTTGGTTCCTGGTTCCTGGTTCCTGGTCGACGCTCAACCGCTGAGCCGCACCAGCCAGGCTCTCCCTGCCTTCTTTACATCCAAGCCAGGGAGCCCCCCCTCACACACACACCGCCCTCTAACCAGCCTCCTTTTTGACTGCGAGCCTAGCATCTGGTGCCTTCTCCTCCTGAGATCGCGGCCCAGCGCTCCCCACCCCTCTGTTACGCTGCCTTCCAACGGTGTCAGCAAAGGACTGAACCTAAACACTTTCTGGGGCCAAATTTTCCTATGATCCATGTTCCCAGTTGCCTGGTTGGATCATTTCTCTGTAAGTTGTTGTTCTGATAAGAGAACTATTGTTAGGAAATCTGAACCTTGGGAATAACAAGAGCTGAGAACATTCACTGTTGCTTAGTTCTCATCATTGTGTGTCAGGAACGAAATCAAGAGCCCAGACTGAACTCTGAGAAGCGCAGGCTCGGGGTCACCAGGAAAAGTAGGGCTTATGCTTACAAACCTGGGGGTCCTTGTGGAGGAGGGAGAGTTTGGGCACCCGAGGGGGATGCTTGGGCTGACTCGGGGGGACCCCATCCCAGACATTCCGGTAGGAGCCTGAAGCTGTGTCATGCCCCTGGGGGAACCGGCTGAGCCCTGGCTGGGGCGGGTTCTGGGCCAGCGCTGCTCTCGCTCT